AATCCACTTGTTGTGTTTGCCCTTGATCTAATGTCCACATATGAGGGAGAACATACGATTTTTGGTCTTTTGGGCCAGGCTGACCTCACTCAGAATCATGTTCTCCAGAATAAATGATTCTTTAATGCTGAGTCTGCTTTCTCTCCGATGAAACTTGGAATAACTTGTATGGATTAAGACAGTGTTTTAATATTTGTTCTTTCCTTTATTTAAGGATGGAGAGTAATCATGCCTGCGCTGTGTTAAGAATTGTGGGAAAAATGATTGTGTAGATTGTAAATCCCTTTATTACCTAGAGTGTAATTTAAATAAACGAACCTTACAAATGCAGCTTTCCCCTTTTGTGAGTTATGAATAATTTGGCAGCATATTCCCATATCTGAGCAGTAATTCCTGAATTCAACATCTGTAATGAAACGATTCTGAGTATCTAAAATGAAGTTCAGGAAATTGGATTTATGCTAATGGAGAATGGCAGTAATGAACATTTGAATAACATAAAGTTAAAGGATAATATGTTATTGTGACTTCAAAACATGATCTAAACACATCCAATTATTTTGAAATAATGCTCCTCCTTCACTATACTCCAAATGAAACAGTAATCAGGTTAGGTTTCATATGCCACTTTTGTATGAGTAAAGCTTTGAAATGTGTGTACTCTCAACATATATTTCTCTAGTTTCTTTCAATCTTTCATGGGTGTAAATAGAAGTATCCTCATCATGGCCTTCTTAAACTGAAAGCCCTTGAAGGATGATTGAAGTAAATTTTCCTCCTACAATCAAGGTAGTGATGACTTTCTTTTACTTACATGAAAGATGTATGTTTTGAATTTTTTTGAGTGGTTGGGATGGTTAAAACTTACATAAAATATAAATTGATAACAACCTCCTTGAAATATGTTTCATTTTAGAAGAATGATGGCTCTTATTTACAAGTGATGGTTGAATGTAATGATGTAGCGCAAGGGTGATCTAGGCAGCACAATGTAGAGAAAAACATGGTCTTATTGTGAAATTAATGAATTGTCCAATAGATTATTTTGTCTTATCTGACCTTGCTTCCTTTTATTTTTTTCCAGATAAATGTAAATGAAATTACAAGATTTTCAGATTTCCCTTTGTCTAAAAAGACATTGAAAGGTAGGTAGATGGTCATCTTAGGATAAGTTATTGGATTTATTGATGACTTTTTCCCCCCCAGAAAGGAGATGGCTTAGAGAGAGGTTGACCTGAAAAATGTTATTTTGACAAACAATTTCAGTGTCAGGAATACCTATAAAACACTGAGTTTTAACAATTGTTACTCTCATTCTTGATTGGTTAAAGAATATTAGTTAAAAAGATTTCAGGAGCTTTTGAGTAATTAGAACAAAACCTAATTGTGTTAGTTAAAACAAGCAAGAGAGCAATCAAAAATATGTCATACATTGTATTAGTTCATTAGGGCTGCCATAACAAAATACTAGACTGGGTGGCTTAAGCAGTAGAAAATTTTCCCCAGTTAGGAGGCTACAAGTCCAAAATCAGGATGCTGGTAGACTTGTTTCCCTCTCAGGTTCATAAAGGAACAGTCTGTCTATTCTTGCCTTGCAGATGGCCTCCTTCTTGCTGCCTTTTTTTGGATAAAAACTATATATTTACTGTATATAACATGATTTGAAATATGTCTACATTGTGGAATGGCTAAATCAAGCTAATTAACATAAGTTTTACCTTATTCACTTATTTTTTCCTATTTCATAACAAGACTTAAGATCTGGTATCAGCAATTTTTAAGCATACACTATATTATAGTTACAGTCATTGTGATTTTTCAGTAGGTCTCTTGAACTTACTTGTCTCACTGGAAATTTCACATCTTTTGAGCAACATCTCCCCAATCCCCTCACAGCCCCCAACTTCTGGTAGTCAACATTCTATCCTTTGCTTCTGTGAGTTTGGCATTTTGGATTGCTTATGTAAGTGAGGTCATGTGGTATTTGTCTTTCTGTGCTTGGCTGTTTCCCTCTAGGTTCATCCATGTTGGTACTCTAAGCCCTGGGCAATAAGCCTCTGCCTTGGGTACCTAGAGTAATAAGCTTCCAGCCTTGAAAGCTTAGAGCTATAAGCCTCTGGTTCTAATGGTTTAGAGCCTAAAGCCTTGGGGTTTGGAAGCCCAGCCAGTGAGCCTCTGGAACAAGGCTGTCAGCACTAAGGGAGCTTCCCTTACCTATCTGTAGTTTGTATCCAGATAGAGTAAAAGACCCCCTAGCCAGCAATTTGTGACAAAGGAGCACACAGTTTAGCTTGAAATACCTGTAAGTTTTTTCTGAAGTATCATTCTTCCCTCTACGCTGCCAGGTTTGCAAGAAGCCCAGTATCGCTTGCTAACTGAGATACAGAAGCAGACCATTGGATTGGCTTTGCAAGGTAAAGATGTACTTGGAGCTGCTAAAACTGGATCTGGCAAGACTTTGGCTTTCCTTGTTCCAGTAAGTATATTTGTATTTGGTCAGATCCTCTTTTATACAGTTTTATAATGTTCTGTGCCTACAGGGAAGCAAATAATTATGTAAAGAATTATTTTCATGTTGAATTTCATTGGCTAGAATGAAGCTTTGTCAGACAGGAGCCATAGCTGTCTTGTTTCCCACCATATTCTCCATATTCCCCAGCTCCTAGCACAGTGCCTTGCCCATGGCAGGTACTCACTGACTTAATTGAATGAATGAATGCATGTGTCTTGACAAACCATTGCATTCCTGAAGGATCAGGTGTTCCACTGTGGTGGTTCAGAATGGTTCTGTACAGTGGGACTGTGGGCAAAGTAGTCTCTGCTTTCACACTTACAGGCCTTCCAGTGGCTTAACAGGTGTGTTAAGGACAAAGCTTTAACTTGTTTACTTTATGGAGTGTTGTTGAGAATTTTCTGAACATTGATAACTGTTCTTTATATAACAGTAGAATAGAGTTGCTTAGGAATTTACTTATACCTCATTTTCATGGTTGATCTACTAATATGATTCCTACAAAACAATTGGTTTCAAGTACTACAAAACCATTTTCTCTTAAATCCTAGCATGTTTTTTCTTTTCTTTTCTTTTTTTTTTCCTTAAAGCAGTATCTTTCTAAAACTAGGGAACTCAGTCACTGTATAACTAGGGCAGCTACCCAGATGAAAGTTTATTGTAACGTGGTTCCTGTTCAGAATGTGATAATTTTTCTTAACTTTATTTTAATTGCCAGTGGGTTACACATACCTTTCTCTGATAGCCAGTCTCCTGATTGCATGGCTCTGGCATCAGATGAGTTACCATGAGGCTTCTTTTCCCTTTCCTCTGAATTGGGAGTGGATGCTTCTGGTAGGTGGAAGAAACAGTCTCTTTCAGACTGAGTAAAACTTGTGAGTTGTATGTCTTCTGCTTTGATTTGGAGGGACAGGGTTGAGACTCAGGTCAAAAAGCTGACTTTTCTAAGCAGTGATTGGACACAAGTTTCTTCTTGTCTTCAAGGTGTTGGAAGCCTTATACCGACTGCAATGGACCTCAACTGATGGCCTGGGGGTTCTGATAATATCACCTACAAGGGAACTGGCATATCAGACCTTTGAGGTTCTCCGAAAAGTAGGAAAGAATCACGAATTTTCAGCTGGTCTCATCATTGGTGGGAAGGTTTGTCCTTTGTCCTTGTCTGTCCTTCTTTAGGAACCCAAGTAGGACTCCTATGGCAGTTGACAGGGAGGAGGTGGACTGGCCTCCTGGATGGGGGCTTATGGGGTGGTGTCACCTTGGTGTGGTTGCTGGCATCTGGAGTCTGCTTGTTAGTTTTGCTGTCTGGAAAGCCCATATTCTTCAGGGTCTTTGCATAGATGAGGCTCTGCGTCAGATGTGCAAGCCAGTTGGAGTAAGCCTACTTGTTAATGTGCTTTAAGAAGGGACATTCATTATGTGGACCTAGTACATTTTAATAAGTGT